TCTGCGCCTTCTTTCCCTCTTTCCCCCCCTCTTTCTTTCCCCTCATTCCCTCCCTCCTCTCTCTTCCTTCTTTCCTCCCTTTCTTTCTTTTTCTTTCTTTCTTTCTTTCTTTCTTTCTTTCTTTCTTTCTTTCTTTCTTTCTCTCTCTCTCTCTCTCTTTCTTGCCATCTTGCCATACTTCCGGTGATGCCAGGGGGTGTGGCATATGCTAATGAGTTATGCTAATGAGCTCCTGCACCTCTTTTTCTATGAAATGACCCCTGATCAGGTCATCTGGCTAGCACCACATTTAATTTGTCAACCAGACTCAGGCCAACTGCTGGCAGTTTGGCATAAAGGAAGATCATTAATTCTAGTTTTGTACCTCTTCTAGTTTGGACACCTCTTGATTCTCAACATCTTTTAGCCAGGTTGGGTCTTGCACAGCTGGAACATCTGGTCTTGGACTCTGGACTTTGAAATTTAGCCTAGATTCTGTGTCTGAATTTGATCAAGTAACACCTGGATTAGAGAATCAAAGGTTGTATGTTGGGTTAGCTATTTAAATTTTACTATTTTTTTCCTTGCTGTTTACTGCTTTTATATTTATATATTCCTGCACATTTTAAAAGCAAACCTGATTAATTACATTCTGTGTTATTTTTTGGGTTTTGGGGCTTCAATCTAAATCCAGTTAGCCTTTATTGGCTACAGTTACCAGAGTAATTGTTTTTGGAATCCAACTTGCAAGCAATGCTCTCTCTAAGCTGCAGAGTCTTGTGAGCAAAAAATCTACTTGCTGAGCTACTGGCATTGAAACTGTGAGCGAGCGATTTGGCTGCTGCATAAATTAGTTTGCTCTGGAGCCATCTTTCCTGAGCTGAGACAAAAATGTGTGAGCTGGAGGCTAAAAAACTGTGAGCTGGCTCACACTAACTCAGCTTAGAGGGAACACTGCTTGCAAGTGTCCCACCTTGCAGGAATGACACCCAGAAGGGTTAGAGACCCTGCCTCTTGGTCTCCGACTGGAGGGTTAGTAAAGGGACTAATGGTTGATCTTTATATTGTAGCTGTGAGGATTTACTTCCCAGCATTTTGGGTTGTTTTGCTTTTTTAAATCCCCTTTTTTATAAATTTCCCACTTATGTAGATTTCTTTGAGAGAAACGTGCTTACCCTTTTTAGGGACATGAAGATGAAGAAGAGATTGGATTTATACCCCGTCCTTCACTTGGAGTCTCAGAGCAGCTTACAAACTCCTTTCCCTTCCCCTCCCCACAACAGACACCCTGTGAGGTGGGTGGGGCTGAGAGAACTCTGACACAAACGGCTCTTTTTCAAGGGCAACTGTGCCAGAGCTTGTGACTGACCCAAGGTCACATCATCAGGTGCAAGTGGAGGAGTGGGGAATCAAACCTGGTTCTCCCAGATTAGAGTCCGCACACTTAACCACGACACCAAACTGGCTCTCAACATGGAGAGATTAGTGCCCTGGCTTCCTCACCCTGTTGCTGAATTTGCACATCTTCTAAACTCGCCTGTTTATTCCTTTGTTCCAGACACTTTATGACTGGAGCTGGGACACTTAGGCACAAGAGTGGGGCCTGCTCGTAGGAACCCTTGGCTTGGGCCAAAACCCCAGCCCCCCCCCACACACACACACTGGAGCCAATCACACTGACTGGGAGCACCCCAATAAAGATGAGTGAGTCAGCCTCTGGTTGATTAACAATAGGTATTGCCGAAAGGAAACTACTCAGACAAGAGCTCCCTCCTTCTCAGGCTGCCTTTTACTTCAAAGCTAATTTAATTTCAAATGTTAATTTAGCCCTTCTAGGCGTGGATTAAAGTGGACTCTAGCTGAATAGCCTCAACAGTTACAGGAGGTATGTAACTGCTTGTTTTCTTGTTAGGTAAAAACCCTTCTTTAAGGGCTTGAGAATTAGCTTAAAACTTTAGATTTAGTTTAAAATTGGACCTCTTGTTTTTTTCCCTCCCCAGTTTCCGTTTACTGTTAATACGGTTCAAGACCAGCAAAAAATCAGTTAAGACATGACTTCAAGATCAAATATATAGTATACAATTTTAAAAGTTTAAAATATTACAAATTACTGCATCTGATTATTAGAATTCAACTGCACCCCTTAATTGCTTCCTTTTGAATTTTACAAGTTGCTGCAAAAAATCTGGCACAAGAAAATGTGATATGAGTTTTTGTACCTGATAGAAACTTCCTAGAAACTTCCTAATACCTTCAGTGACTGGAACAGAACAGGCTGAAGACCTACCAAGCAAAGGTAGAATAAACTTTACCCAAATTTCCTGGTAGACCTCTTTTTTATGCCCTAGCTGTATTTAAACCCTACCTGCTGTTTGTTTTGTTATTTGTTTTCCTTTTTCTATTACAAAAACCTAAGATTTAGTGTTATCTGTAAACTCACTATCCCTAGTCTCTGGTATTAGTACTTTAATCTTTAGATATAATAAAGTTTCAAAATGATATTAGAACTTAAACTAGGGCCTGTGCCCTCAGTTTGAATCCTTGTCCTTGGTTTGACCCTCTGTTTAACCTTTCCCATACTGCTGTAAAACTAGCCAAGAGCCTCTGAGCCTGTTTACAACTAAAATTAGCTACACCTGAGTAGTTTGAGCTGCTATAACCGAACTGAAATTAGAACTAGACCAGAAAATTAGGATAGAACTAAAATTAGCTACTCCTGCCAACCTAGCAGTTCGAAAGCAAGAAACTGCAAGTAGATAAATAGGTACCGATTCGGTGGGAAGGTAACAGCATTCTGTGCACCTCAGTGTCATGGCAGCCACATGACCACGGAGAAGTCCTTGGACAACACTGGCTCTTCGGCTTGGAAACGGAGATGAGCACCGCCCCCTAGAGTCAGATTCAACTAGCTTTCGAGCAAGGGAAACCTTTACCTTTACTTAAAATTAGCTACACCTGAGTAGTTTGAGCAGCTACAACACTGATCTATCCAAAGGAAGCACAGAGTGAAATATGTTGACTATATCCGATTAGAAAAGTACAGTGGCATGTGGGGAGAAGGAGCTCAGACATTCCCCTACCCCATACTGCTTCCCTAACCTGAAATGGCCATGTGGAGCACCTATCTACCCCACTGGGGCAAGCTGATAAGCAGCCATGTACTTTCAAGACAAAACTCATCTTGCACTTTAGGTTATTTTCTTCTAGAAAGGCAAAAGGTTATACAAGTGAACATACAGAGTAATAATCCCACCAATACTTACAGACCACATAATTATGAGCCTTCTACCAACATATGGGTTAATGTTCCAGTAAGTGAATGGGAGGAATGTAATGTAGAAAACTTCTTGGCCCATTGCAGCTGAAATCGTAAACAGGTAGTAGTAGAAGTAATTCTTTACAACATACTCATGTAGATGGTCCTAGGAGAGAAATTTTTATATTAGTGCATTTTGATAAAAAGAAGTCCTTGTTACACTCAAATTATTTCAATACCATCTAGAGCTCCATAAAGTATTTTGTCATACATGTTTCATCCGTTTGCTATGAAGCTTATAAAATATCACTTTCTCAGACTGGTGTTTTAATTGATACAGGTAGCCTAATTACCACTTAGTTGTTGTTGTTTTTACCAGGTACATTGGTGGGTCACACATGTATTCTAGAAATTCCATGCTTCCCAGATTGGGACCATGACCCATGGGGAGAAGGGCTTTAGACCTTCCCCTGATCATTTTCCCAACCCGAAATGGCCCCAGCAAGCTGCTAATAGCTCCAATGGGGAAACTGAGATGTTGCCTTATCAGTACACATGCAGCCTCCAGTACGGCAAATAGTAATTCTTCAGGGCCATTTCAGGTCAGGAAAAAAGGGGGAAAGGTTCTCCCCCTCCACCATCCTAATCCAAATCAGGCCCCTGCATGTCTGGAACTCTGACAGGCTGTCTGACCCAACCCATGGATGTTCCCATAAAAAGTTTAACATATGATGAGGCTTACAGATACATTATTATTACTTCTCTAGCTTAGTAAGCAAAACTTTAGAATGACACTCTACTTTAGTAGAGTAGATACAAAACTTTGGAATGATACTACTCTAAAGAGCAGAATTTAAACACTGTCTTACCTTTTTACTTTCTTCACGTTAAAAAAAAAAAAGCATTGCACACAGAATATCATGAGCTCACAATCCAATGAAACCCCTTGGCATGCATTCAGAGAGTACTGTATATGCAACTGAGGGCAGAGAAATGGCTTTAAAAAGAGAGAATCCTGTCCCACATCGCATGTGGTGAAAAGGGAGGCTGAGTTGGCTGCTGTCTCAGTTAGGTACCTGCTTCTTGGACAGCAACCAATGGGAGGCCTTCCTAAGGCAGTACAGGCTGTGGCAAAGGCAAGCCCTTTTCTCAGTAATTAGCTGATAGAGCTAATTCATGCTTGAGCACCTAAACACATACCTAGTGCTAGTGTGCAATTCAAAAACCAGATGTAAACTGTCAGTACTGGAAATCAAAATTGGTTATTACTGCAAGTCTCCAAGAATCATCATCTTGCAGGCCCTATTTGAAGACAGAATGTTGCCTGAGGAACTTGAGTTCTTTTACTTGCTAGAGTAACACCACTGGTAGCTGCAGCAAGTGATCCATGCTACAGCCTTGATCTTTAGAACTGTACATACTGCTGCCACGTTGTGAGTCTCTGTATCCCTGTTATCAGCCTCCAGAACCACATGGTTGCGGGTAGGGAGTTACAACATGACACCAAGTAGTCTGGTGGCATGTCATTCCAAAAATTATGGATCAGTTGTCACAGGGAAGCTCAGCTGGGTTTAAGTAAGAATGACTGAGAACCCTGGGATTAAAGCTGGGAAGGAAGGCAAAGATTGGTATTGGGGTTTTGTACTTATTTTAATTTCTTATAAAGTTAATTCAGCAGAGTTAGCAGAGTATAAAAGAGTCTGAGTCCATGGTAGTTTAAAATATAAAAAGTTTACTATCAACCTAACAAGGGTAGGGTAAACAGGATGAAAAATAACAAAGAGCTTTATTTCTACATCCTCTTATCTAGACAGCTTAACGAAGAGACATCTTAAGTCATGCTAAGACTAATGGAGACATCTTAAGTCATCCTCAGGCTAATGGAGACTAATGGAGACTGGAGCTTCTTCTTGCTCTGGACAAAGGGCCATAAAATGCTAATTCTAGCTACTTCATTCCCCAATCAGGACAACAAACTACATCTCAGTCTGGCGGGCTTTCTAGCTCTCTAAGCAGATAGGATACAAACAAACATGTGGTTCAGTACACAGTATTAACCCAGTAAATACTAGATAGAAGTGTTCTAACTTGTAACATCCAACAGTTGGTCATATTTATGAATGCATTTTGTGAGTTAGAATGAGCATGTTTACTTATCAAGGCAATACTTTCTTCCCACTTCCTAGACAGAACTAATTTACTTTAAGCATTGATTGTTTATTTTTCTCTTTCAATTACAACAATAGTTGATTACAGCAACAGTCATCTTAATCATGATTCATGTTTGTATTCATGCTTGAGCACCTAAACACAAACAAGGAATTGGGTCAGATGTGTCCCATCATGTTTGGATGTTTACCTTTTGCATGATTATACTATTTTCTCAGTTGCAGCCTAACACCTGTCTGCTGCTATGGCCACAGCTGCCGCTGCCACTGCCTCCTCCCATTTTTATAAAGCATATGACAAAAAGCAAAATAGAGATTTTTTAATTGCAACTTACTACTAAAGCCATTTCTGTGCCTTCCCTGTCTGGACAAAGAGCCCAGCTAATCTTGCAATCAGTTATCACGATTAATTAGCATCGGGGTCATTTGGGGGGGACGCGGGGGGACGCCATCCCCCCGGGTGAGGTGCAGGAGGGCGGGGCCTGGAGCTCCCTGCTGGTGCCCGCTGGAGGTCACCGCCAGCTGTGGGGAGGACACACTTCCGGTGATGTCAGGGGGTGTGGCATATGCTAATGAGTTATGCTAATGAGTCCCCCTAGCTCTTTTTCTACGAAATGACCCCTGATTAGCATACAGATGTTGCTGAGTGCATAGGAACTAGAAGCAATCAATGCAATCTAGTTGATGTTTCTCATCTAATGGACACATCAGACTGTGAAAGCACGAAGAGGAGAGAAAAGAATGCTTTAAAGCCCATGCTTTAAGTCCATCACCTTAATGGCCTAACCATGTCCCTAGAGGAAACACAGCTCTTCTTAGTTACTTGAAAAGATTTCATTCACAGACTGGGCACAAACAGGCTCAACATGGCTCTGTAGCAGAAGTGCCTACTGTACAAGTGGGAAAGCTGCTTGAAGTGACCTCCGACAGCAACTGTCAGGACACTCTGATCAAGAGCTCAGCTCAGATGCAGCAGAGGAATAGCTGGAGAAAGGAAAGTTTGCCTGGCATTAGTGTTTGTGTCAAAGTTATTTTGCACACTACTTATGATACAAGGCTTTTAAATGTAAGTGAAAGTTTAAAGCTGCTTTTTTTGGAGCAGAACTGTAAGCGGACTATATTGTATGTGATGGTATGAAGCATGGAATAATCCTGCAGTACTCAAACCACCCATGATAACTGTTGTGTATATAAACAAGGAAGGGATTTTCAGTTAGCAGAGCAGGCCTTCCTTTCCTCCCCTTGTTGCTGGAGCCCCAAATGCGCCCCCCCCCCAATGCTGCTCCTGGGGGACAGAGAACATAATCTAATGAAGACTAATGGAAAAATACTTATTGGACATTTATTTCTTTATTTAATCAGACTTTTATCCCGACCTCCACCCAAGTGGGCTCAGGGTGGGTCACAAATCACAAAGTAACAATATAATCAAATAGTTAAAGGCATATTTCTCATAAAACCCAATCAGACACAAAACAGGGTGAATTCGCCTCGACAGCAATGCTCAGTTTGAGCTGGTTCCATTTGGCCAGCATTGTCAACAGGAGAGGCTGAGATAGAATTTGGATGTCTGCTGCCTCATCTGAAGGCCCTTGGCTGCGGTCACACGTAACAGAAGCCACACAAGTGAGACGGAAAACAGCCGGAGTCTCCGGGCGCGATCTCACCAGCACATCTGGGAAGCGTAGCACTCCCATGGCTCAACCGAGGCTTCCAGCCGAAACTGCGTGGCAAAAAACTAGTACCTTGGAGGTACTAGTTTCCGGAAACTGCGGGGCAAGGGCGGGCGTCTGATCGCGTTTCCGGTGGCATCCGGCGCCCGCCCATGTCCCCTTGCAAATAAGGTGGGGTTTTTTTGTCCAAGTCTCTGTGGATGCGCATGCGCACCCAACGGAGCATGCGCATTTGTCATGTACACAAAAATAAAAAACAGTTTGCCGCAGCGCGCGCTTCTTCATTGCGCGCCGGCTTGTCCTGTGATTGGCACCTCTCCCTTGCCATGGAACCTCCACGGTACCTCCACAGGACCTCCACATGAGGTCTGATCACGTAACTGCGCAGTAGTTTGCCCCAGGGCAAACAGCCACGCTTCTCCTCTGCAGTTTCCTGCCCGTGTGACCAGGGCCCTTAATGAGCACGGGAAGAATCTGTTTCATTGGAGTGGGAGGACGTTGAGTGTTAATTCACAGATTAGAATTGTTGATGTGTAAATTAATGTTACTTACGCAGCACACTGAGAAAAAGCTGGGAGAATATGCAAACTCCGTTGTATGTGTACATCTTTATTACTTGTTGAAGAAACACTACTCACTGCAAAACAGCAGTCTAAATATATTTTCATAATACTACATCATGGTTGTTTTCATCATTGTTTGCATCCTTCCCATGATCTCTCTGTTGTTTCTACATTCATCTGAGGGCCCGGCAGAACAGCTATATCTTGTGGGCCCGGCAGAATTGTAACAAATCCCACAGTGCCCTAATCTCAAGAGGGAGCTTGTTCCACCAGGCTGGGGCCAGAGCAGAGAAAACCCTGGCTCTAGTCGAGGCAAGCCGGACATCCTTGGGGCCGGGGACAAACAGGAGATGTTGGTCACTTGAGCACGGCGCTCTGTGAGGAACATATGAGGAGAGGTGGTCCTAAAGATATGCAGGTCCCTGGCCATGTAGGACTTTAAAGGTTAACACCAAAACCTTGACCTGGATCCAGTACTCTATTGGCGGCCAGTGCAGTTGGCACAGCACTGGCTGAACATGAGCCCGCACAGGTGTGCCAACAGCATACATGCCTCCACATTCTGCACTAGCTGCAGTTTCCAGGTCAAGTTCAAGGGCACCCCCGCATAGAGCAAATTACAATAATCCAGTCTGGAAGTGACCACTGCTTGGTTCACTGTAGCTAAGTCCTGGGGAGTGAGATACAGGACCAGCTGCCTGACCAGCTGTAGATGGTAAAAGGCCAATCAAGCAACAGTGGCAACCTGGGCCTCCATTGTAA